CAACGCTATCAGACTGGGTTTTTTCTCTCGTCTGAACTTAAATTCAACGATTTACTTTGCTCTAACAGAGGGATGCCTGTAAGTTATTCTATTTGATATTATGTGATTAGTGTAGTGTCTTAGTTTGTATGTATTTGTTTTTATTTATAGTCGAGCCGTATTAAAGAAGTTGACCTGAAAATCAAGAAGCTGTAGAACAAGAAGACGCTTTGTTTCCACAAGAAAGGTTAGTATGCCACTGTTGACCAATAGGCAATACATTGCTAGTTACGTTTCAGGTATTACTGCATATATTAAGAATATTAAGCAATAACTATAAATGTAAATTTTTCATTTTGACACAACTTTTCCTAATATGGTAAATCAATGCTCAATTTTTCACAATGTCGTACTTAAATTAACGATGTACCACTACCCAATGCACTAAGACGGTGATAATACCCCCAGTTACCCCAGTTAAAGGAGCAATACAAACCAATGAAATGGACTTGAAAGAACGTGTGTTGCTTAGTATTCCAATCTACTTCAGTCTTCAGACAATATATAGCGCGATTATAAGAGAAGAGAACAGAAGAGCTGCATCTTCACGCTGTACGCATTGCGCATGCGCAATATATGACAATAAATCGTCCTTGCGTATTCAGAAAATCATCTCGAATGACAAATATCCACAAATCGAGTACTGTCAAGAATAGTGTGCCACTCGTTTCATTCGCAGCAATAAATAGAATTATCTGAAAACACATCATTACATGATCCAAAGTCCAAACTATATTCTAATATGTCTCTTAATTTAAATGAATCAAGAGCTTCAGCTGATTTCGCCTCGGTTGGCTTAACTATGACTTAAGAAATTCTCTTTGGTTCGGGAAGTATTAGATCTGTTACACTATTACGAAGATGATAATTTGTCTGACCACTTCCCTTCTCGCGATAGAGTTTCTAAGGTCATTAAGTATTTTGTAGAGTAACATTGTAAGGTTGTAGAAAATATATTCATTTAATTTAGGCCTTTCTGTTGGCAACAACCACGACCACCTGCTGCGACTTAGATTCCCCCGTTCTGGTCGGCTAAACATTTTCTGTTACGAGCTGCGAAAGTTAATCTTGTCCTCTTGAATATTTTGGTTGTTTGCACTTGTGATTCCGAGTTTTAGTGCAGATATTTGAAGGTTTTTTAGAGCCATTTCGCGCTTATTGACTTTTATTAATATTGTGGAATTGAATTTGACGACACGACACGTCACTATCAGACATTGAATATTTTACCCACATATATTTATCCACATGTATGTAGGTGTATTGTTTTGATGGTTGAAAATTGCGTGACGTATGTACTATAGGTATGTACTATTTGCGACACGACACGTCACTATCAGACATTGAATATTTTACCCACATATATTTATCCACATGTATGTAGGTGTATTGTTTTGATGGTTGAAAATTGCGTGACGTATGTACTATAGGTATGTACTATTTGCGACACGACACGTCACTATCAGACATTGAATATTTTACCCACATATATTTATCCACATGTATGTAGGTGTATTGTTTTGATGGTTGAAAATTGCGTGACGTATGTACTATAGGTTTTCGGATTGCGCTAGTAAATCTGGCACACATTATGTAACTACATGCAACTAGAATCCAGGCCAAAACTCATCGGGACACTTAATCCAGTTTACGCAAAAATCTTAAACTCAAAAATCTTGACTCTTTACATATGCATAACACAGGGACGCCGGAACTGGGGCAGGAGGGGCAGCCACCCCCGTTGCCCTTTACCAGGAGGGGCAAGGGGAGCAAAGGTGCCCTTTCAACTTAAATGATTGCCTTGGCGAAATAGCGAATTGTCAGAAATGTTAGTGCAATTCTTTTACGAATTTGCTTCAGAAAACGCAAGAAATGCAGTCATCGAGCTTCAAGAATACTAGAATAGCACAATCGCCTGGCGGAGAACCCCCTCACACCCCTGTCATCCAATAAATAGAAAACATGATTAGGCGAAGTTCAACTCCCGATGTTTTGCAAACATCTCTTAGTATATATCAATTCAAAAGTGCCCTTTCACGAAAATCTGCCCCCCTTGCCTTCACATCGTTCCGGCGTCCCTGTGTATACAATTGAAAGAGTATCATCATACAAGTTACTTGGTGTTTATTTGAATAACGATCTCTCATGGAATCTACCGAGGAATCTACACTGTGACTATATTACTAAGAAAGCTAATAAGAGACTATATATATTGCGTATACTACGGACAGCAAGGATTGGGTATCAACAACTTGTAACAGTATACTGCAGGTTAGTCAGACCAATCCTCGAATACGCTGCCCCTGTTTGATCTGCTATTCCGGACTACTTAAAAGCTAAAGTTGAGAGAGTCCAAAAGCGAGCCTTAAAAATAATTGACCCTGGATCGTCATATGAAGAATCGCTGCAGAAGGCTGGTCTCCAAACGTTGATTAAAAGACGAGAGGAGATTTGTAAAAAGTTTGCTAAAGACGAGGAGAAAAAAGAGGAGATTTGTAAAAAGTTTGCTAAAGACAATAAATCGTCTGGTCCGCTTTAAAAAACTCTTCAATTACAACAGCGTTGTGATAATAATTATCACCCATGAACATAACTTACGTCACGACATTTAAGCGAATCTAAGTGTTCTAATTCCATAAATACTTACTGATAGATTTTTAAATTTTATAACATGTAAATATTGATATCTTCTAACATGTAAAGTATATGTAACTTGACAGATTTTTAAAGATATAGTTATTCTTGATAATTTATGTATTAACTTGTAATTCAGCATTTGCTGCAATAAGTTTTTGAATAAACCTATTATTATTATTATTATTATTATTATGTATCCTCCACTCCCGCTCTTCAATGTTGCATATCCGCATTATCAACGCTTCATATATCATGAAAAATTTCATTCAATATTGATTCGAGGGAGCGGGGAATACTTATTTAGAGAAACGCCATTCGAGGCCAATGTCTGTTGGCCGGGTTGTCCACAATGTTTTGGCCAGGTTGTAGCTGCGCTCGTTTTTTGTCACAAAATTATGTCACAAAATACACTACTCACTAGTCAAAATTTAACTTTTATTGTTAGCGAAAGCAAGTTTTTAACTTTTATAAATAATTATATCCTGAACTGTTCAGTTATAATTAACTGAACTTAACAACATGTATACATATGGCCCAGTCAATCATTGCCCTCAAAATGCTCAATGCTCTGATTAGCATTGCAGTTCGTTCTCCTAACGTGCTGGCCTATCTGCATCACTATCAGAAATATCAGGTACAGTAAGTTCCTGCATGGCTAGTGCTGACGCCTTTTTGGATTTTTGACGAGAGCGTGTAGTTGTGAACTGAGTCCGATAATAAGTGTACTTCCGGTGCTTAGTCCAGTATCCCTGGTTTTGGCACGGTAGGTTTTTGGCGTACCCTAGAGTTCCTGGACTACCATCGTTATGAAAATAAATTGAAAAAAAAATTTAAAGCACCAATATAAGAAATAAAACTTGCGTGGCTTCAGTATCAGTTTGCTGTGAAAGTTATATAGCTAAATATGCCAATATAATTATGCTAGCAGTGCTTTTTCCGTAAAAGGTGCCAAAAATATGCTTTTTTCCCCGAATTATGCAAAAAAATGTGCTAGCACAATCGAAAAAGCCTAGACGTAAGCACTTCTAAGGGTTATTGATATTTTTAAATTTTATTGTGGAATCAGCTGTAGTACCAAAGTCGGAGCAGTACTTTTTACCCATTGAAAATAATAATCACTTATTTACTGAGACCGAGGGAAACAGTGTGTTTTGTGGACCCGAGACCGCCGTTGCAACAGCAGCGGTCGAGCGGCCACAAAACACACTGCTTTCCCGAGGTCTCAGTAAATAAGTGTTGTGTTATATAGTATATAAGTGTCAAAGTATGAATAATTCATCGGTTATTGGAGTGAACTTAATTTGAAACCAAAACTAGATAAATGGAACGCCGTAAATTTCAGTAAAAAGTTTAAAAATGAACTTTGGAACTTCATGGTTGACACGCATGCGTACTGCACCCATTTTATTATTGACCGGTCAATAAATGTTTCATTGCGGACCACGTACTGAACTATATAACATGGAAGGCTGACTCGAGCTCAAAAAGTGAAGCCAAACATGGCGGAAATTGAAGGCATTCTTGCGCATCATTCTCAGTCCCCACGTGCGCGGTCAACAAAACTTTTATATTTTTCACTGATTTCAGCGAATGATAATGAAGAAGTACGCTCAATGTTAAATTAAGGAATAGAATCCTAATGATAATGACTATTTTCGTAGGTGAGGGCAAAGTTCTTTAATTTAACATGGATTGTCCAACATGCGTAGATTGCGATTCATATCATTATACCACATTTTGCTACTTCCGCTTTCGTTGTAGAAGTAAAATACTCCATCAAAAATTGTCGATACGTTCAGTTTCAAATTGTCGTTGCTATTACCTGTCGCATTAAACATTGGTAAGATGAAATACGAATGAAACGCTCATAAGTTACAAAGCATGAGACAATATTTCATTTAACATGCATTCAACTCTGCTTTTTTGCAAGTTGCAATTCGCTTTTTTGCAAGTCACTTGCAATTGCTGCAATTTTGTTGCTCGCCGATGTACACAAATAATGTCAATAATAAGTAATAGAATCCCGAATGATAATTATTTTCATTTCGTAGGTGAAGACAAAATCCTTAGACATTGTCCAATATGCCTGGAACTAAGATTACAGAGGAAGACCGCCAGAGGATCGATGCAAAGTTCATTTGCACTTTGTGTAAATTACTGCTGCACATTCCCTTTCAAACCGTGTGTGGTCACTTGATGTGTCAGTCCTGCATGGAAACCTTACTCGAGTATGATAACTTTTAGTCTCAGACCAGTCCATTTGGATTGAATTGATACTTTGTGTAAGCTCGTGTATTTATTAGCATACTATCCATTTTTGTCAGGAGTTCGCATCCAAATTGCCCTGAAGATGGCGAAAAGTTGAGTAAAGAAAGAGTGAGTATTTTTCATATAAATCTTTATGTAAATTTTCTCGACAGCCACTGAATGAATGCACACTGTAAACATAAAGAGTGTACTTCTGGACGTTTGAAGCACGAAAGGCATCAGAAACGTCGAAAAACAAAAGAAATCAATATTTAATTAGCGTTTTGAAACTAGCGGAAGATGAGAAATGCGTTTTCCATTGAAGATTCAAATTTACACAAAATAAAATACAAATAATTTGTATTCACACAAACCAAGTGAAAAGGGAGTCAAGAGGTTACTTCTAAGTTATCCGGCCCAAATTAACACCTGAGTTACATCGGAGATTAAATTTAGAATCAATGGTAAAAGTAATTATTATATTGAGATTTGGGAGAGATAAAACAGTACCTGAAAAATACAAGAGGAACTTCAACGTTTCAAGCTAAGGCCCTTCGTCGTGAAGTTAGTATAGCACAAAGGGCCTTCGCTCGAAACGTTCCTGTATTTTTCAGCTAGTTGTATCCCTAGACCCTATCAATCTGCAGCTGTCATATTAAGAATTTAAGTACTTCCTCAGTGTTTCTATGAAATTCTCAGTTAGATTATTCCAAAGTGGAACAATGTATATGAAGAAAGAGTATTTGTGTACTATATAATAATATGTATACTATATTATTCATACTCTGAAGCGTAATGGAGTACCTGAGGATATGACCAAATAAGTATATATACATCTCTTATCCGCTCCATATTGGATTACGGCTGAGCTGTGTGGCATACACGCCTCCCTTCTTTCCTTGTTGAGAAGATTGAACGCATACAGCCCCATACAGATTACAGAAGCGATTTTTTTATTAGTTCATTGGCGAAGTAATTTCAAAAATAAACACGTTGTCTATAAGCCGAGAAAATTAAAGCTAAACTCTAAAGTCTACGTTAATGAACATGGCTTTTTATCACATATAAAACCACCGACACCGAAAACCACCGACACGGTGTCGGTGGTGATTTCCTTTGTCTTTTCCTCATGAATTATTAAATAATGAGTTTTTTTTTTAAAACTGTTTAAAAACGTTTTTTAAATGTTTTAAATCTTTCACTTTCAGGTTTTTCCCGATGCTTTTATCAGACGTGAGCTCAATGGACTTCTTTTACAGTGTGCGAATCCTGGTTGTTCATGGCGTGGTGCTTACGAACAGTTGGAAGTGAGTGTGTTGTTTAAATGATTTGCAGAACTGATTCAGTCACAAACCGTTCTTTAGCTGGTATAATGACGTATGCACGTGACTAATTTCTTACTCAAGATTGGATAATTGCTTCATGAATTATTAATGGCGAGGTTGCCATTTTGAACGATTTACTCAATTATATGCTCGCTGTTCGTCTAGGAACATGTTCGTACAAGCTGTGAAGGTGCACCCGTGACTTGCAAATACTGTAAGGAAGATTTCTTGAGAAAGGTCATTGAAAAACACGAGAAACACGATTGCAATGAGGCTCCGGCGACTTGTGAATTTCAGGCTGTGGGCTGCAATCAGGATAAGGTAATACTGCAGTTATTGTTGTTGTTGTTGTTGTTGTTGTTGTTGTTGTTGTTGTTGTTGTGTTTGCATGTGTATAGACTATTGTGTCGACTGTCATCACATGTCTGTTTTGCTTTTGTGATCCGATCACGATTCTTCCATTAGTTGTCAGACTAGTATAACTTCGTCTTAGTTGCATGTGAGAATGCAAGTGCATGTGGTTCCGGTCTGACTCAAACACCGCATGTGAAAATACCGATATTTTATCCTCCAATATATATAGAATGTGTCTGGCTTTATTGGGCGTAAAGGGCGCAGTATAAGTTGAGTTCAGTTTCCACACGTATAATAACACTGCCAGTGGGCAGTAAAAGAATGTGTAGTGTAAATTACTGAATAAAATTTACCCAAAATATATATAAAGAGTCATATGCAGGCAAATAGTGGAACAAAAATTATGGAAAACTTACCATACCAAGGGGCAATTCTATTTTGCCTTCATATTGTGCCCTGAAGGCTAGTATATAAGTACGTTTCTGTATGTCAGGCTCCTGCCGACACGTTGTTCTTCGAATTTTGTATTCACTGTGAAATTTCAGATACATTTCTAACAAAAATGGCTTACTTCATTTGAAAGCTTGCAAAAACTACATATAGCCATTTAAACGGTTACCTGGGTTTTCAAGTTCTTCTTGAGTTATGAGTTGTTGAAAGTATGTTTTCAGACTAGTATCCAGAATTTTTGCGAGATTTTGGCTTATTTTTCACATTTGCAACAACGATAACTCGAAAACCACTTGAAAATACAGGCTAACCATTTAAATGTCCTATATGTAGTTTTTTATAAGCTTTCTATTGATGTAAGTCATTTGTATTAGAAATGTATCTGAAATTTTACATTTTTTAATTGTAATAGAGTTTAATACAAAATTCGAAGAAAAACATGTCAGCAAGAGCCTACAAGATATTTTAACGTCGCCGACATACGGAAATGTACTTACTAGTCTTCAGGGCACAAGATGAAGGAAAAATGGAATTGCTCCTCGATATGGTGAGTTTTTTTCCTTCTATCTGCCTGACTTCAACGTCTTATCCACAGTTGCATGGGAAAAGTTCAATATAATAATCTGCCCAACGTTTAAAAAATGAGCCTAACGATAGCGAAAATAAAATTTTGTGGGATGTTTAGGTTCTGAGGAAGACTACGAGAATTATTGGATATAGCATATTCTAATTAATTAATAACTTAATTCATTTTCATGTGTAACAGATAAGTATAAAAGTCATTGCATTTATTCATCTTTGATACAATTTGTAGACTTTGAAGCGAAAGGAAATGTGCCAACATTTGAATGATGGATTGGTAGATCATGGCAGGTTACTGCTTCGCAACATGCTCGTTTTCTTTCCCCAACTGAAGCACTTTATCACACGTTTGGATATTACAGCAATCATTAATAAATTGCGCGACGACATCACCGAAATTCGCGTTAGCTTAACCGACAAATTTGTCATGGTTGTCGGGAAGTTTAATGGCTTAAAAGTACGGATTGAAGGTATAAGTAACTGACTGGCATTGTTGAGCAAACGATAGCTCTACCCGGTTTCCTCGATATAGTCGAAATCTAAAAGACACCAAAAACACACCCTCGTCCCCAGGCGTTTTGATTTGCTGCGCCGTAAAACACACTTTAGTCCCACTACTTTCGCTCGTCACATTGCACTTGCGTCACTCTGTATATGTCCATCTCTCTATCACAGAATATCAATATCTTTGACAGTTAATGTGACACAAATAGACGGATTTGTTTTATTTTCAACGATAAATGTAAAATATTATTCCTTTCGCACCGTTTTCGAAATTCGAATTTTCAATTTCCCCATGTTAATATTATATGCAGAAATAAAAATATGCATAAACCCTCAAACTTGAATATATCAAAATGCCAAAATTCCACTGACACTGCATGTTTTTTACTTATCTGACACCACAAAATCGTTGGTCGTTCTGAAAATACTGACGTCCAAAGGATAGGTAGACGATAACACCTAGAATATTCGGATATAAACACGATATTGACACGCAAAACTCGACGATAAATACACGTTTTCCCCGTGAATATGACACAAAATCCTCTGATTACTCTCCTGGTAAGATCGCCAAGAATGGCTGTTCAGCAGATAATTAGCTCTACTCGGTTTGAAATATAAAATAATTTCATACAAGAAAAACAACTAAATTTAACAACTTTTCTTCCTTCGCGTTCCTCAATAGTCAAAATCCAAAAGACACCAAAACCATGCACACGTTAATCCCAGTAGTTTCGCTCCTGCAAAAACTAAATTATTCTTGTAAGTTAGGTTTATTTAACAAGAACGAAAAATGAAT